CGGGATGAGGGCATGCGTAAGTGTAGGCGTCACATTTACGTAGTACGGCTACCTTGTTTCAATTTGGGACCGCACAGGCAATCCTCCTCCTCCTCCTCCTCTCTATCCCGAAAGTCGGTCCTTCCCGGTGTATGTCCAGCGGCAATATTACATGTAAAAAGGCTTTGACGGTTTAATCAAGTACATACGCACCTCTTAAGCCGCAAACCCATCGGCCAAAAAATGACAACGGGCCGACCCTCGTTTCATATCAATCGAAATATTTGTCTTCCGGTTTGCTCTGTTTCCCAATCTGTTTATTCTTCCGCGCCTCAGTGGTTTTGTTGGCCTGCGGCACCGACTGTGCCAGTTCGTACTAATCCAAGAGATTCATGGTGTTCACACTGAGAATTTTCGTTATTTGGTGTAAGCCATGTGGAGCACACGCTTGAAGACACGTGGGATGTTTGCCGACCCTGGCAACCCAACACAATACTGTTTGATTTCCTTCAATTCGTAGGGTCACAGGTCACAAGCCCAAAAATCTACGAAAAATTTCGTAGGTCACAGGGTCACAAAGGCTCAATACGAAAGGTTCCCACCAGTTTATGTAAGACAAAAATTTCGCTCTGGGTGACCCTGCGGGGCAATTTTATACGAAAAAATTCGTAGGTCACACGGGTCGCAGGCCCGCATACGAAAGGATCAATTCGTATGCGGTGTCAGACACCAAATGGTCCTACGAATTGAAGGAAATCGAATAGTATGTTTCTTGAGCTGTCTCTTTCGGGAAGGGAGGGACGGGCGCGGGCGTCGACGTCCAGATAAATTAGAGCAGCGATGCATCCGGTACTTCATTATAACCTTCGAATATTTTGGCTCCGGAAGTTATGCATATAAGGATCGTCGGTGATTAATTAATTTGCGCGTTGCATACATGGCGCGCAGATCTGTGACCGATTGTGAGGATGTTGATTTCGCTATATCCGTCACGGCGGGCTCTCCTTTTCCCTCTATCGTTTGCGCACCACGGTGCTGGGCAGGCCCTTCCATGCTGCCATTCGCTCTCAAGGTGGTCTGGTTCGTATTGACAATTGTCGGTGAGCGCCGCACTCATGGTACACCAACTCAAAGTCTTATTTGTCTCCGCCATCCAAGGCTCATTCTTCTCCATCCTCTCGCTCGCGGCCCTTGGGCGGCAGGTATTCATTTTTGACCGACCCTACCATAGCAGTCCTAAGCCACATTATTTCAGGCTGGTACTCGATGGGCTCCGGCCAGTTACAACGTTGGTCTGTTCATCTACGAAGGCATGTTTTGCCTTGGTGAGTCAAAATATCCAGGGCGCGACCATTCTCATTTTGTGTAGGAATGGTCTGGAGAATGGATCCATATCAGATGCCCAAAGCCTTCTGCCTTGGTTCGTATCATGTCTTGATCTTCTGGCTGCGCTCAAAATATCAGCTCCGCAGCCCAGGCGATTGGGATGAGTTTCGGGTTATATATAACCGGGGGATGCTGCCTGTCATTCTGCATTGCCACGAGTCTGCATATACTCAGGCCAAAGCAGTGGGGAGACCTGTCGAAGTGCGCACTTCACCATCCATCTCATCAGACTAATAGATGCTCCCTGGATTGTTTTTAGGTCGTTCACATGGCGCCCTGTATACTATCTTCCCATTATCGGATTCCCTCTGGTCACCATCGGTGTACGGATTCTCCTTCTTGTGAAGTACGATGCTGTTCAACCCTTCGATGGTCTACACTGCGATGCTGCTGATCCCATATTGTAATTGCTTCCCTCCCGAAAATCGTTCCCCATTGACGTATGAATTGGTCAGGGTTCGGCTCGCTGGGCCTGTCTTGCCTGGGTTAATCTTGATTCCCCCAACGCTTTGGCTCTCTGTATACTCCACCATGCACGTCATACAAACACTCAGACACGTAGAACGGGCGAAAAGAGATGACACTGAGCTCCCACGCCAAATTCGTCGGGATGGATTGAGTGGGCGCAGTTCCTTCAAGCCAAGCGGACCCGTCGGGCTTGAGGATGATGACATGCATTCAAATTCTGTGGCATCGTCGAGCTTCCCAACCTTTGCGCCCCTGAACGACAAACAGGCCTCTTCAACTCAACTGGACGAAACCGACGTTGCCACCGAGTCCCGGACCTGGATAGATGAAGATTCATGTGCTCCCACCAGCGAGGGGCATGAGATACCCGAAGCGCTAGAGCTCGACGATGGAACTTTCCGCCTGAGCTATCGGGAAAGCGCCGGCACGCCGTCAAGTATGTTTAATCTGTTTCGTAATTCCATACCGATGTTCTGACTTATGCCTTTAGAAATATCTCCCATTCACTCTATCCCACTGTACGCCCCACAAATTCGCCGACTACTCATCTGTCAAGTGTATGTTTCGTTGCATTTGTCGCGCTTCTATCTCAATTATCGTCAGGGTGTTCCCGATTGCCACAATAATCACTACTGCATGCGTCATCGCCGATACCCTCACACACCGTTCCGTCCCAAGACCCATCGGCTACCAGGACTTTGTTCAGTTATCCGTTGCCTGGACAGGGGCGATTGCGTTCGGTGCGTCTGAAACAAAGGCTTTAGAGGAATTATGTCCTCACCGAAAGTGTAGGGACACTGCCTAGCATACGCGTCGAAATATGCAATCTATTTGTGTTTTGGAAAAGGTAACAACAACTGGCTGTCGGTGTATCGTGTCAGTTCGATCATATTGTTGGCTATTTTACAAAGAGAGCAGTGTTCGGGTATCCGCGAGGGATGGAATGATATTTGGGCAGGGCGTAACATGAAAAGCATCGGTATGGTTCCCCTCTGAAGTCTCGAGTTCGAGTAAACAGGAACCTCCAGCGGCTACCTCAGGCTGAGGAATACGCACTTGGCTAAAATTGGAAGACCGTTTTCAGCTGGCACCATCTCGGTCATTTAGCAGGACCCGAGGGAAGCCAAAAGTTGAAACGATGTTGGACATGGCTATTTAATCAAAATGCTCCGCCTAATTTGGGCTCGTGGTTATGTTTGTGGCTTCAGTTCGAAGGAAAAGGTTGCGAGTCGATTCAAGATTTTTTCGACGGTTCGGGCCAGCGCATCAATTTTTCCTAGTGTTTTTTTTTATGAGCAAGTTATCTATTGATCCTGGGACTCGTGCTTCAATGGGAGATTCATGTCACCCGGTATGTTCTGAATATTAATGCTTAGTGCCTACAACTCTGCGATACCAGCCGTTCAATGACTGATTCCGCTCAGCGGCTGGGTCACCGTGGGAATCGTGATAGAACTCGTGCAAGTAAGTATTGCGGACTCGGAAGATCGGTAGTAATTTCGGTACCACTCGTACCAACTTGAACTTAGACGAGCCGGATGACCATGCTCAGCCTCATAACGGGCATAAGTGAGGGACTCGCAGCTGTGGAACAGTAACTCGCAGGACCGCGTCTGCACTTTCAAGTGGCGCAAAGGTTCAATGAGTACAGATACAAATTCATGACCGGTTCCTCTCCATATTTTCAAAAGAATTGGTGCACTTTTCGTCAGATTTTTTTTTTGATGGGTTTGCACTTGGCCCGATACGCCCGACGGATGCCACGCCTGTCACGGACATGTGTTAGCGAGGCTGTGCCGCTTACGAGCCCTTCCTCCGTCACCGCTTCGATGATTCGATTCATCCTTGTGCAGGCCAGTTCTGGATCGTTTCACTCACAACTCTCGAACTTGACAGTGCAATTTAACAGAATCGACAAGGCAAAACCAGATTGTCCAAATGGTACGTTCCGTACGAGGATGAGGAAAAGGTATGGCCTCTGAGTCTGGCTGGAATGTATCGCAAAAGATCCTCATGCCGAGCTATGTAGGTTCGTTTACGCGGAGAGGTGCACCGAGCGGTCAGCTCTAGGGACCAGAGATTTCAGTGCAACTTCGTGGAGGTTCGTTCCCGCCAAGTCGCCACTGTCTGATGTCACTCGGCGTGTCAGGCCCCCATAGTATCATGCTGATTCTGCGGTAGTTCCGCAACTACAAGATTGTCTATCGGCGGTATGCGGGCCTTTTCTTCTGTGTCTGCGTCGACGCGAACGACAACGAGCTCGCGTATCTCGAGGCAATACATTTTTTTGTCGAGGTTCTAGGTAAAGTTTGCCTCGCTGTCCATGGGCGTCTCCGACGGGCCGGTTGACTTCTTTCGCCCTCACTAGACAACTTCTTCGAAAACGTGAACGAGTTGGATTTGGTGTTCAACTTCTACAAGGTCCGTGCGACCACAAAATCGCAAAATACTCCCATTTAACCACCGCGAGAAGGTCTACGCAATCCTGGACGAAATATTCCTTGCGGGAGAAATCCAAGAGACCAGCAAAGATGTTGTTCTCCTACGGCTGGAAGAACTGGAGAAACTAGAGTAGAGTCCCTCGAATCCCACCCACTTTTCGTGGGACCTTTCATCAAGCATCCATCCATCTATACGCTATTCCCATATAAACCATTTATTTCCTATGACTTGCATTGCCGGTCCCTCTGGCGAATGTGCTTACCCTGAAAGCTGCGAAGAAGAAAGAGCACAGGTCGTTCTATGCATGGGTTGCTCGTTCCGCACCTCTCAGCATTCCACCGCTTTCCTTTGTCTGTACGGATCTGTCGCACTTGCCTTTCAAGGTAAGTACATAACTGGGGTCTTTTTTCTTCTCACGAGACCTTGTCATAACTTTCTGAACCGTACTTCTCCGGGGCTCACGCGCTGCACGAATTGTTCGCGCCCCAATTTATGTCACGGCGCAGAGCTGGAGGAGCATGACCATGTGTCTATATTATACTTAAAGAAATCAATAAAACAGCTGCGGTGCGATTTCCAAACAGCTGGGCTGAGGTGAATGAATCCCTTAGTCGGCTGAAGGGAAAATCAGCGGCTGCGAATACGTTGTTTCACAATTCTAAATTGGATGTCAAGGAGGCGAATGGAGGAAGCAGGAGATTTGAAAACAGCAAAAGAAAAAAATGTGGTTCAACCCGGGCTCGAACCGGGGACCTCCTGTGACCCAAATGCTGTGAGACAGACGTGATAAACCGACTACACTATTGAACCATGGCGAGGATTCGCCGGTTGCGTTCAGACCGACGACATTTGGGACGGACTTCGGCTGGAGGTGAGTTGTCCTTTTTTATCCTCGTCCACGAAATGCTGAACTACAGAATCGCTCCGTACAGTCAATGCATTCGGATTAAACAACACACGTTCCTCTCCAGTCATCTTTACATTTGTTCGAGCCGACACCAACTGGGGCAAACGTATGGGTCTAGAACTTCGAGGCGTGCACCGTGAATCGCAGATGACTGTGGGAGCTAGAAAGTCGTGCACCGTACTATCGTTTTTTCCCCTGCGTGTAGTCGCTAATGGTATCTGACTGCGAACGACCGAGCTTAACAGATGGAAGGTTGAATTGGCAGGTGCAACTCCAATTAATTATTACCTCCCTAACAACTCTCACGCCATCGCAACGAAAGCGGGACTACCTGTTTTTTCACGACGGCTATCATCACCCTTGTGCTCAGGATGAAAGGACGGGAAAATGAACCGAAAGAGGACTTGAAGAAGGGTAGCCGGGAACGATTTAGTATCGCGTCACGCGAGTGCATTTATTTGATCTAGCTTCAGGTACATTGGTTGCTACACACATGCCGAAGTAGGCTCAAACCGCCCTCGTCGCAAACCCGACCCAGTTGTTCGTGGTATCGAAGACCGAGTACTAAACCAGTTCAGAGAAATTCAAACAAGAATAATGTCAGGAGCGGTACTCACGTAGTAATCAAGGAACCTTTGTCCAATAATGAAGTTGGGGCCTTCAGAAGCATCCGTTCCGCCGGCGCCAATCCATCCGTAGAACTTGCCGGTGGAGAGCCCCCAGTAGTTGTACTGCGCGGTGGGGATGGTATACTGGGCGGGAGTGAGCGAGTATGAGACACCGCCGATCGTGAATGCGAGGTTCTCACTGAATACGTCCGTTAGCAACTCGGGCTGAAAGATCATTCCCGTCAACCTAACGACTTACGTGGGAAGCTTAGTCCACGACGCAAGGCCAGTAGGAGTCGGTCTTGCCGCCGGAAGCGCTGAGGATAGACGGTGAATTTGGTCGAATCGGTTCCGCCGACAGCTCGCCATTGTCATCGTGGGAATCGCTGCAAGCGTGTCTGATAAACCGAGGTGATACTCAAACGGCTGTGAACTCACGACCCACACTCTGGAGAGAACGAGACGCCCAATACTTGCGTCGAGATCGTTCCCTGAGTGAACAGGTTGTTCACCGTGGTAGGGACAGTGGTGGATCCCGAGACGGTGTCCTCGGTGAGGTCGATGGGCCCAAACCGATGATTCTAACGACGAATATGTCAGGCCGAGCCCTTCCAATTTTATAAAGATAGACCCATCGACCTCAGTGAATCCGGAAGATTTTGCACCGTCCCTAATGCTCTGCTTGGTGACAGTCAGTCCGCCTAGGACAAGGTTGTCCGTGTATTCCTTGCCGCTGAGATGGAAAGCAGCATACAGCATCTGCATCCGGTAGACGAACATACGAGATCGAGACAATTTCGCTACCGTACGAGACGGAGAACGTCGCTCCGGTGTTCATGGAAGTGGAGCCAGGAGAGTATTTCGTCCCAGACTGAATCAATTGTCAGTTGTTGACCTCCGAGCAACGAATATTGCAATAATCACCCCGACCCAAAGTGCTGGAAGATCCAGTGTCACTGGAAGTAACAAGTCCAAAAACCGGACGCGCTCCACGGGTAGGGTTTACACGGTGAGCGTCTGAGTCCCGATCTTGGTGGCAGCAACATAGGTATTATCCTCGTTGGTTGCGGGGCTTCTCCAACAGACGCAGGGGCGTCAACGTTGAAACGAAGATGCCGCGCAACCAGGGCCTTGACGCTCGCAGTGCGGCCCGAAACCTTCTTGTAGATCGGTACAGACAGGACATTTGAATTTTGGAGTAGTCGCAGCCGGGGTGGCAACGGCCGCAGACACAAAACAGGCGAGGAGGAGGAAAGGAGCAGTGAGTTGGACCACGGCGACTGGGAGTATGCAGAGAGGAGTGGAACTCTGAGGCTCCACCGACCAGCACTACCTCTTTTATACAACGCAAATGCCGCAACAGTGACATATAGCACGCCAATGGTGATTTGTAACATCATGTGGTCTGGTGCGACGGACGATAAGCAAGTTTCCAAGGGCTAAGTTTACTGACGCATGTGGTTCCGCGCCAAGTGCTTCTTGTGTTGGGCTGTCGGCTGATCGATGGTTGTGATCAACGCCTCAGTGCTCTCGCTCTGAGCAGAATAAGGTATTGGAGCATGAACAGTACTCTCATGAGGGCCGGTCCGAGATAAAAGATCGTCGTGAATCCCGGTAGTGCTGAAAGAGGTTTAAAAAAAAGTTGACCTGAGCGCACGAATTCAAAGGATTACAGGATGAGTTGAAATTGCAACCCACCTAGGTGAATTCGTTAAATCCAATAGGACGAGGTCTGGGCGAGTCGCATGGGATGTTCGCAACAATGGCGAGTTTGGCGTCCGTAGAAAAAAAGAAGAATGTATTAACACCGGGAAGCCTGGCGCGGGTTCCGGAGTCGCCCCTCTCTTCGTCCCAAAGGCAAGGATCGTTTCCGCAGGAGGCCAGTGAAAACCTAAAACAAACCGAAATAAGAATGTGCAAAAAAATGGCCCCGAATCGAAAGGGATCGCTGCATTAATTTCCGGATGCGACGGTGCGGGCAAATAGAATGAATACAGGGGCGAACCTGCTACCAAGTCACGCTGAAGCCGTTGTGCTCCTTCAAGTTGAGTTCGACTTGAAGCGCAAGAACTGGAGATATGCGGAACCGTCGCCGAGCGTGGTTATATGACTTTATCCCGACTGAAACAGGCTCCTTATAGGCTTGTGGAACCTGAGCCGTCCAGAGATTTCAAGTGCGGGCTCCCGCTATTCGGCGGCATTCGTGGGCGGCCACGGATGTGCAAAGAGCCGCTTCTGTAGCGGGAAAAAAGAAGGTTGCAAGAACGTGTCAAGAATATGGCTCAGTACCGAAACAAACGGGAATCCTGGGTGGGTTCGAGATTGTAGATGCGCAATCCGAATGGCAACTTGAATACCAAGCCATATCGAGTCTGTTTGAAAGTTCACTGTTTTGTACCATGCGTTCGAGGGGCTCGAACTTGATTCGGATGCAGGCTTGCGCTTGTGCACTGCGGAACTACCGCGGAGGTAGAGACCTTCAGAAAGACCAAGTCGAGCAAGTCACCGTCAAGTCCCCGTAGTGCGCCAGGAAACTGATGGGAGAAAATAAGGAGATAAGCGGCCCGGTTACCCGAAGATCAAATCATGCACCGCCTCACGTCACCTTCTTTTCTCGCCTCCACGTTCCCAAAGTTCTCAGTACTCAGTGTCCACTGAATACGACTCCAAGCAGGCAGAGACTGCTGCTGTGCGATGAAGCGAACGACCAATTTTCTCAAGGACCTACACCGGATGGCCATCTACGTATTTAAGTATGTATTATGAATGCATATACTTTTGGCGTTTGCCAGTGTCCGCAGTTTGTTTTGATCTTCATCATGGTCTCTGCTTCCACTGGTTCCATCTTAAACTGCGGAAAGATCATAGCTCATCATTATTATTGCCTCATTGCTCAACCGCCTACGCGAGCGACACCCCGTTGTCTACGATGAAGCCTTGCCCGGTCGCAAGCGAAGAACGCATGCAAAACAGATATGCCTCGGCTATTCCCTCGGGCGGGCCGACCTGCTTCGTCAAGGTCCCCGCCGCGACCTTGAGAACCCCCTCCTTCCCACCCGCCACTTTCTCCAAGAGATCCGTTTGCACCGGGCCGGCCACAATCACATTGGCTCGGATTGGCGCCAGCTCGACGGCAAGGTTGCGGGCGAGCACCTCGGTCGCGCCCACCATCGCCACGTTAATGCCCTTCATTGGGCGATGGGCCCCCATACCCGAGGTGAGCGTGATCGAGGACTTCACGGCGCTTGTCAAATAACGCCCGGGGTGCGCCGCGACGAGCTTCCCGACCAACAAGGGGCCGAGGTAGCGCACAGTGAAGGAACTGAGCGCCGTCGAGGCCGTTGTTTCCGCTAATGGAGTCGAGTGAAGGTTGCCGCCCGCTGTGTAGACAATATGGTCCAGCGGACCACCGGTGTCTTCAATTGCGCTGTCCAAAACAGCCTGAAGGTGCGTCTCCAACGTCTCTGTGTTGGAGAGGTCGACGGTACTGCCGCTGACGTGCGCACGGCCGGGGTAGAGAGATTGGAGCAGCTGTATTTTAGTGGCGAGCTTTTCGGGTGTCGCAGAGGTGATGTGAACTCTGGATCCGCTGGAAAGCGCGCCAGAGGCGACCGCAAAGCCAATCCCATCGGAACCACCGATAACAAGGGTACGACTGTTCAAGAGAAAGTTTGGGTGTGCCATTGCGTTTGCGTTGATTCAGAGTGTTGAGGTGAATCCACTGACTTCTGGATTATTATACTAACCTAAAAATTGTAACTCCTTACGGAATACCGCTTCTGACCAAACACGGGGCGCCCCGAGATGAGTAAGTTTGAACTTTGCGCGGTTAGTCAGCAAGTGGAGATCAGTCAGCACTGCGACCCAGTCGGTTCGATTAATCATCCCCTCACTACTCGTATACTATTGAGATGCCTCGAATCAGAGTACACCCCAATTGTTATCCCAGCTGACCCCGTTTGTCCTTTTTCTCTCACACCTCGCCAATTCCCGCGACTATTATTATGTACTGAGACGGAGCGCTCAGCAGCGCTCGATTTGTCCCCGCCAATCACACAGGATGCCCGATGCAAATCACCTCAATGTAGAATTTTATTCTCAACCGTTCGACACTTCTTTTCAAGCGCGCCAAATTAAGCCTGGATCTCCCATACCTCGCCAGATGGATTACACCTGACTGCAGCCTTCCATTTTGCCTATATATCTGCCACTCTCCCTGCAGGCGCTTCCCATATGTACATGCAACTTCTTGGTTTATCGCATTGGTTTTCAAGGTGTTTGTTTCCGCACATCAA